CTCCTGCTACATTCAGGCGCCCAAGATGCTCGAACTCATCCTCAACAGCGAAGGGGTCCTGAGAAGAACCTCCGAGAAGATTATTGGATATGACGTCAGCAACTTCATACCGGAAACGATGATCGATGACGATGTAAGTCAGGAAGAACCTGCTGACAATAATAAAAAAGCACAGCAGAGTGACGCAAACAATAATAACGAAACGACAAAATCTGGAGACGAGAACCCCACAGTGCTGGAAATGACCTCCTTCTTGCCAGGTTCACCATGTCCCCCTCAACCAGCAAGCAACTCCCCACAACCACCATCAACCTGCCTGCTAGAACGCATCATAGCGACCTCTGCAGACGACGAACGACGAGCGGCCCTCTTGATGCACGTTCCCCCAATGAGGTACGTGGTCAGCAACTACGTGCTGGTCAGTCAGGTCATCAGCGCTCTTCTCTTCCTGTTGCAAGTCATCTACATGATCTGCTTCACTGCCTTCGTCATCAGTGACGCTAAACTCAGCGTCAGTCAAGATGACAGTTTTGAAGCTCGCAGCAAGAAAGGTATCAACAGGTTATATCGCTTCTTCATCATCATCCCTCCGCTCCTCTTCTTTATTTACTCACTGATCCAAGCAAACACGTTGAACCGTCTCATAGAAGGAGCCGATGAGAGTAAAAAAGGTTTCAAGCTGTATAAACTCAAAAATATCTCCTATTACGAGCTTCTACTCTTTATTGGCTTCATGAGCTGGCCGGCCCTCAAAGACGATCTTTATTTCGAAATCTCTGTCGTTATTTTGGTCTTGGGTTGGTTGAAACCAGCTTATTATCTTTCATATTATCGCTATTGGAGCGCATTCATCGTAGCTCTCAAGAGCTCAATGACGAAATATTTGATTAGTTTCGCTTTCATTTTCACTTTTGTTTACATTGGATTTTCCATGGCGTTCAGAGTTTTGTTGATCAGGAGGGCAACCACCCCAGATGAGGAAAAACCCATGGAAACTGTCGCCTACATGACCTTTGTCACTCTCTTTGGCATGGGAGAACTTGATCAGGTTTGTGACGATGGTGATGAAGATGACGATGGTGATGAAGATGACGATGATGATGGTGAAAACGATGACGACTATGAATATTATGTTGAGAATGATGACGACAATGATGAGGATAATGATTACGATTTCAATATTCCAACATACACATTCATGACATTCAAATCTGATGAAAACATCCGATAACATCATCCACACCAGCTTAAAACTTCCAGAAAACGCCAGCAAACAACACCTATTAAAACTTTTCGTTAGAATTTTTACAACTTTCTTGCCAGATGCCCTCCGAGCACTCGACCGGCAGCATCCTCCTGATGAAGTTAACCGTCTGCTTGTACTGCAGCAGTCTGGCCATCCTTGTCCTCGCCATCATCCGACAGCCAGACGAGGAGGTTGTCGTCAGGGTGGGCAGTGAACTGACCCCGAGGTCATTGGGTTTTTTCTTCTTATTATTATTGTTGTTGTTGTTAATTCTTCTTCTTCTTCTTCCTCTTCCTTTTCCTCTTCCTTTCCTTCTTCTTCTTCTTCTTCTTCTTCTTTTTCTTCTTCTTCTTCTTCTTCTTCTTCTTCTTCTTCTTTAGACGAAACAGACTCGGTCATACACGGAATCTGCTTTACAATTTCAACAACATGTAGAATACGGTGGCCTATTTATTATTTTATGATGATGTCATCAACTGATCTTCGTCTTGGTGCAAATAAAAGTTGCTAGTTTCACTAATTTTATACACCAAACTTTTTAAATGCCCTACCGCCATTTTTTAAAATGAACTTTCTGCTTTTTCTGTATTACACTGCGTATGTTTTCAGATGATTAAAAAATTGCGCTAATACCTTGAGGCAGTAGTGGGCAAACTTTTCGTGTTGAGATCTATTTTACCTTTGAAGGGCCGCATATGCATTTAAATAGCTAATTTTTTCGACCCGGGGAGAATTTTAATTTAGAAAAATTGCGGCTTCTCTTTTGGTCCTAATGTCTGGCTGACGATCTTTTTTGGCGAACAAGGCCTTGCGGGCCGCATAAAATAGATTCGCGGGCCGCCGTAGTTTGTCTACCTTTGCTTCCTTAGGGCCTTAGAGCTAGCTTCAATGTTTTGGTTGTAATAAAAACTTCCACAAAATTTTTTTTAAATATCATTATTAATTAATTATATTTGTTCAACCTAATTTAATTTGAACTTAAACATTCAAAGCAGTTCAAAGATTTTATTATTTTTAAAATATATTTCTATAAATCTAATCATAATTTAATTTTAAATTTGATTTCAGAGTCAATTTGAAATTCATAAAAGAAGTCGCATGGCTCATCCTGCTGAAGAAGCATTTGGACGACAAAAACAAACAAAGACATTACAGCCGGCAACAACAACAACAAAATGCCGAAACGATAAAACCGTACCGAAGACCGCTACCGGGTGAAAAATACGGTTCCGCTTTCTTCCAATTCAGAAAAATTCTCGGTTTAGAATCTCGAGTTTTCAAAGAAGTCGGTAACCGTTACCACTTGAGACTGATGAAGGATGACGTAATAGACCCGTCTGTCGGAAGTGACGATGACGTCACAAGTGGAGATGATGACGTCAGAGAGAGAGGGAAAGATGTTGAGGATGTTGGAGTGAGCGGGGAGTTGGAGAAAGTGAAGAGTTCAGTGGAGAGGGTTGAGAAAAAGTTGGAGATATTGATTGAGAGAATTGGGAAGTTGTAGGCAGTGTTAGAACAGAGTTAGAACAAATTATATAAAAAAAATCGCAACTTTAAAAATCACCGTATTTATTTATGCAATTATTGCCAAAGGTATTTTCAGTTTAAAAATACTTTATTTTCAAGTATTAATTTGTAATATTTATTTGAGGTATTTTCATGTTTTATTTATTTTACTAGTTATTTACTCCCGTTTTTACTACGTTTCTATTTATTTAAATCTACTCTCGCGGTTTCAACTTTTTGAGACCCTTTTCAAGTTTAAGTTAGCTGCTTTTAAATATTATAAAATCGGTTTAGACATACACACCACACACACACACACACCACACACACATCCACACACACACACATACTCACACACACACTTTCACATTGCATACACACACACACATATATTAATTGCAATAAAATAAGAAATTATTTTTTAATTTATTTGATTTAGTTTTTTAAAATTTAATTTCAACTTGCAAACAATCGTCTTTTTTCATTTTTTAAAGTATTAAAAATTAAACATTTAATAAATAAATCACGTATTTTATACTGTATATCAATAAATTAACTTGAGCCATACATACATACATACAGTCAGACAGACACACACACACACATACATGCGTATGCATACATTCATACATACACACACACTTATACATACATACATACATTCATACATACATACAAACATACACACTCACATACATGCATACATACACACATACATACATACATACATACATACAAACAAACATACACACATACATACATACACACTCACATACATACATACATGCATTCATACATATACCATAAACCAGGAAAATACAATTAATATCTATTAATAAAACGAAATCACATTAATGAATATGATAAGATTTTAAAAAATATTTTTGAATATATTTTTAAAAAATGTTTATATCAGTGTGAGCTAATTTTAGATTGAATTTGAAAAAAAGTTCAATGAATATCATCATCATCACCATCGTCATCATTATCATTACTGATAATCATCATCGAATTCATCCATGCCTCTTTTTGTGATATTATTGTTATTATTATTATCATTGCTATTATTACGATTGTTACCGCTAAAAAAATTAAAAACCTTATTATTATTATTATTATTATTGGTGGTGACGTCATCGGTCTCGAAAACGTTGCCCTTCTTCATGATGACGAGTTCTTTCAGGCCGAAAATGTCCCAAGCCCTCAACGTTTTGTCGTAAGATGCTGTATACAATCGGCCGTCTGCTATCTGATTGGTTGGTTGGTTGGTTGGTTGGTTGAATGGTTGGTTGGTTGGTTGGTTGGTTGATTGGTTGGTTGGTTGGTTGGTTGGTTGGTTGATTGATCGATCGAGATTGATTGGATAGTTAATTGATTAATTAGGTTATAATTGATTAATTAGGTTATTACTTATTTGTTATATAAAACTCCAACACTCAATGCATTTTTTAATCTAAAATCTAAAAACTGTGAATAAGAAGAATACAAAAAGAAGTGAAAGAAAGAAAGTAAGAAGAGAGAGAGGGAGGGAGAGAGAGAGAGAGAGAGAGACACTAACTTGGATAGCATTGACGGACACTTCATGGCCCTTAAAAGTTCTCAGGAGTGTTCCGGACTTCGATCCAAAACACATGGCAGTCCCATCCCCGCTGCCAGTGAACACTGTCAAAATGTAACAATCATGCTGGTAGTGTAATGGTTAGAGCACCTGGCTTTGCTGTCGCATGTACCGGGCTCAAATGCGCAGAGATCACCGTCGATTTTATGTTTTGTTGGACTTCGCGTATTTGTAAGCGCTGTGTGTTATGTTGTTGGCTGGTTGATTGGATCCTCTAAAAAATATTTGTTATAATTCAGCTTGTTAACAAATCTGCGAGTCATTCATTAATTCGCCTATCCATTTAGTCATCCTTCCATCCATCCATTCATCCATGCATGCATGCACTAACACAATCCATCCTTATATTTTAGACAGCTGATCGTATGTTCGTGCCCCTTATAGACCCGGGCACAATCCCCAAACTCGATAACCCAGGAGCGAGCCGTGTGATCCGAACTTCCGCTGTAGGCCATCCGGTTGGCCACCTGGTGAAAAAATTTTTTTTTGTAATGGCGCAGTGGGAAAGTGCGCGTCTTCTATGTTGCATTGACTCGGTTCGACTGCAAATGTGGAATGTATTTTTTGCTCATTGTTATCATTACGACAGCTACTATATTTTTCCAAAAACATTTAAATCAATAATATTAT